GTTTTGTAAGGTATTTTTTCTCGACTCTCGAAAGAACTCAACATTGCTTTCATTTCTAAATTCCTTACTTTATAATTTGTATAAAAAAAAATTAAAAAATTAAAATTTTTGGAGAAAAAATGTTTTATTTTTAAAAGTAAATATAATAAAGAATAATAAAGGGAACAACTAAAAAAAGACGGCGACATTATTTTCAACTTTACGTACGGGGTCGATTGTGTATAAGCGAATGATAATAAGAAAAATAATTGTCGTGTGCCAAAGTAAATGCTCCAGAACAAAAAATATTCTCAAAATAAACTATGATGAATTTATGCATTCCGATATGCATCTGCATTTAATGTTACCTAATGTCTTGTATGTGGTTATATTGTATAATTGTAATGTAGTTATAATTGTTGCATAATTAGAAATAGGAAATCAAACTATTTACGATAGAGTTATAGAATTTTCGGGAAATAGTAATTAGGATTAGGTATTACGAATTACCAATTAATGTGTAAAATCTCCTATACATTTTACCCAGCTTGTTCTAGGATGGAATTGACGGACTACATTTGGCATTGCTTAGAAATAATGAAGTAGTTGACATTATTATTATTTCTTCCAAAATCATTACCTTACCGAAAGGTACATTACCGAAATGCACTGTGCATTTATGTTGCTATGAAGTAGGCGTTATCATTGTGGTTTCCTTTACCGTAAATGAAAATACGAGAATGAACAATAATTCATATCGTCGGTTAAGAAGCAGAAAGCATTAAGTCAGGAAACTGTGTTTTGAGTAAATTCAATTTAAAAAAATCGTAAAATTGTAAAACTAATCAATTAGTGCAATGGAATTGGTCTGTTTAATTTCTGGATTTATAAACTATATTCTGGATTTGCATAATTTTTTGCCACAACAAAGATTGTATTATTCTGATTTAATTCATTTATGAAATCCAAATTCTCAAAAAATCCACTTAGTGCTTTCTGCCTTTTAACCGACGATATGTTGTATATAGCTTACAAAATAAAGCCACACATAATCTTATTAATTGATAACCAAATTAAGAGAATTATCAATTTTTTAAATAAGATTCGCTATGAATTTGTTCATTTATAACAGAGTTGAAAGATTTTATGATCCTGTTTTGTAAATTTGAAATTAATATTCTTTGAATTCACTGCCATGCCACTTAAATGAAATTAATGCCATGAAACATTTAAGTGGGAGTTGTGATATCAATAATTATTGCTGAACTAACTCTGATTTAAATTAATTGTACAAATTGGACATTTAAATTGAATTGACGGGGTTTGAAAGTTCATGCTTTTTAACAAAATCCAAATTGTTATACATAACTCTTACGGAATCAACGGAAGTTATATTAAATCACATTCTAATATAAGAGTTTACAAGTTCAAAATCAAATATTTGTAAAAAATGCGACCATATTTTAATGAAATTTTCTTTAAAAAAAAAAACAAGATCAAAAATTTTATTTCCCTATATTTATTATGCTTTAAAAATAAATTAACAAAAACAAACGTACATGATGTAATTGCACTTATGTATGGTTTGCGTTTAGATTTAAAAATAGTAATGTTTCTTTTATGTATATACATAAACAATTTGAATTTAGAAAATGGGGATAATGCCATTTTCTATATCATATTTAGCGTATTCTTGTCCCATTTACATATATAATTATATTTGTAAAATCACTATATGAAAATTTGTGCAATTTTTTTTTTATTGCATAAATATTCTCTATATGTATATTTCCATGTTTTATGTATATATATATGTAAAGTATTATAATTTCAGCCTTTTGAGGTAAGGGAATTTGTGTTATACAAATGGAAAGACATGAATATGCATTAAAATTTACAAAACATAAACAAACTAGAAAATGAAACAAGATCGTAAAATATTTAAAGTTAAAATATTTCATTCCTACAGGGATTGTATAAAGTGTAGAAATGTATAAAATTCCCTTAGTTTAAGAGATTTATTCGGGAGAGTCAGCTACAAATGGAATCTTTTCTCTTATATATTACAGTTACAAGTGTAAGGTATAATGGATTAATGTCAAAAAATATATAAAGATTGAAATGTTGTTTACATGTATATTTAGATCAGTTTGCAGAGAGAGGACCACTAGATTCTTGATCAGCTTAGAAAACAATAGAGATAGCTTAATTCCCTATCAATTCTTAATCTGGTTGTGCGTATTATAAAAAAAAATGGGGCGAACCACTTAATAGTGTTCATGGCCTTCTTAAAAATTTGATATATTATCATGCATCGTACATAATAGAATGGAAGTTTTACTTGAGCAAAACTGTCATTTAGTTGTCAAATTCGAGAGCATAATATTTTTTTGTTTATCATTTTATTTTGGTATTAATGAACCTGCCTTTGAAGAAACACTCTTTATAAATTTTCATTTTCATAGCCATGGTTGGTAGAACCAACTAAAATATATGTTGAAGTCGGTACTTTTATGTATAGTTTTGCTTTTACACATAAATATTTTTATATTTTTCATGACATCTCTAAAAAAAAAAAATTTTTTTTTTATACAAAATGTCATTCATTTTCAAATTTAAAACAAAATTTTTGCCTAGCGAATCTAATTTATTTATTATGTATGTGTGTACGTTTATATATATATGTATATATGTATGTATATTATGTACATTTATATATATTTTGTTTATTTTGAACTGAGACATTTTGATATTGTATTACAGAGGCATATAAATTTTGAATGTGAAAACCATAAAATATATGAACATTCATTTGTATATCAAAAGATGGATCTCTCGGTTACAGATATGTTTTGCATAGAAACAGTGACGTGTTTACCACATTTGCAATGAGTGGTGGCCCCATTAAAACTTAAAAAAATAAAAAAATGTCCAATTTTAAAAACTGAACTTGGTAACATGTGCGTATATGAAAGAATTGGAATTTTTGTATTAAGTCCAGTAATTTATGTAATAAGTCCAGTAATTTTTGTATTAAGTCCAGTAAAATTAAATCTGAAAGTTTAAGTCCAGTCTTGACTTAATTATGCATTTATCCTGATAAAATTACAAGAAAAAAATTTATTGTGCGCAACCCGGGAGGAGGAGCCCGGGCGCACTTTTAGGAAGCAGCGTAAGGCACCGAACGAGTAAGAACCGGGTCTGTTTGAATTTAACTATACAGATATTATATGTTTTTCATATTGTACATTGTGACCATAGTAGTTGATTCATGTACATATGTATTCGAAATTCTGCTTATATTTTATGTTGTATTTATATATGTATTACATGCTTATATATATTGCATATAAATAAAAGTAGAATTTGCAAAATATGTAATGAGTTTTGTATAAATTTAATATTATTTTAAGTAAAGCTAAAAAATTTACGCAAAATCTGCACCGGGTTAAAGAGGATTGAATCTTTTAGCGATATAGAAAAATCATGAGTTAAAAACGGAATTGTTTGAAGAAAATCAAATTATTTGTTCATTATATTATTAGTAGTACTCTATAGTCGTATAATAAGGTCTCGTTTACAAATGAGATTTAATATTTTTTACTGATGTGTGGTTTAACCAGCAAACGAGATCATCTGTAATACTCTTTCACCAGAGAAAATTCTTTGTCATTTTGATGCTATTCTAATACTGTTAAGTGCCATTTCAACAATGAAAACTGTCACCCTGTATGAAAATAATAAAATAAACATAAATTCCTTTGAAGGAGTAAAAAACCTATTTTACATTTACATACGCGTACATTCCATAAAGTGTAGTGTATAAAAATTTCAACATAAAATTGGAATTTTTAAAACTCTAAAGTGAATTTGAAAATTGCGTATTTCTTGTATCATTCCTGCTAAAGAGTTTCTTATCGCTGATTTATTATCAGTTCATTGTAAGTCAATATTGAATGGTTTAGATTGCAAATCACTGAATTTTATTCTTTATTTTTAAGTCAATTTTTGTTTTGTTTTTTTCATTGAACACAGGCATGTATTTCTTATTCAATGATTATCTAGGTTAACTTATTCTCATTAGCAGTTTTAATTTGAATAAATTTTTGGTGTATTAATTAAAAATAGTTTTGCGCTTAAAGCTATTCAAGGTTATTTATTCGGTATACTTTATTAATTGCGTTCTATTAAAGTTTATTTAAAAATTGCCCAAAAGAAGAAGAACAGAAGAGAAATTTCATCAAAGCATAAATAGGTCATATATTAAGTTTTAGATCTCATCTTCCAAAATTTAATTTAAGGCAATTTTTTAGTTGTGTCAGTTTTGATATTTTAAATTTTATAGGATTTTTGTAAAAGTATCAGTAGTAGCAGTAGTGGTAGTTGTATAGTAGTAGTAGTAGTAGTACTAGTAGAATCAACGACAGTAGTAGTAATAGTGGTAGTAGTAGTATTAGTAAAGGAGTGTACGGGACGCCATTTCATGCTCTTGCACACCACTAGAATCATACCATATCCTTCGTAATAACCATCTGATCGCAGACCATTTGTCATCTAAAAAAGTTTTATGTAAAATCCTCCAATGTAAATGCATTTTACGCAGTGTGATATTTTCACTGTCAACGCCTTCCGAAAAGATCATACGGTCAACGCCTTCCGTCATACAGTAAAATCATCTTACTGAAAGAACAGTCAGTTTATCGTAAAAGCTTCAATAGCAATCTTTAAATATTTCGTAGTCACCGTCAGCAGAGCCGTTATCTACGTCCTTTCTTTTATTAATCGAATGGTTTTTGTTGTTCCTACTCCGTACGTTATTTTGTGTGAATACGACTCTGTCATTAAAATAATATTTTTGAATACTAAAAATTTTTTTGCATACACTTTCACATCAAGTTTATAGATATATCAATGAATTTAATTGTTCATTGTTCATTATAAGCATAGATATTTTAAAGTACTTAGCAATATTTATTAATCTAGGAAGCAGAATTATAATTTCTAATAAAACAGTTTTAATTTTTCACTGAATCAAAATGGATCGTAAAAATTTCTTTTTACTGATTGTGACGTTGTTTGTTTTAAAGGTAAACATTTTGTGGCAAAAATATTATTCAAGGTGCATTAACAATATTTCAATCTTATTAAATACAAAATAATACAAAGTATTTAATGGTTATGTGAATTGGAGAAGGTCGGAAATTGTGCGTTTATTAAAAATTAATATATTTCTGGATTTTCCATTTGCTTCTTATTGGCAATATTTGTCCGAAATATTGATTATGATGGCCGAATTCAATTTTCCCCGGTTCTATTAAGCATTGGCCGAATTTTTAAAACAATATCAATTAAACTTAAAAAATATTCATCTTCTAATTTCGAAATTTATTTCAGGAATCAGTATGTCAATTGACAGAATTCAATTCAAATGATATTATTTTAAAATCAATTCCAAAAGGCAAATTATTTTTACAAGAATATTTGGATGGTTTAACTGAAGAAATTACCAAAAATATTAATCAAACAATTATTCATAATCAAAAATTAAGTGTTGATTATCAAAATTATATTAAAATATTTATAAATGGATTAGAAAATAATAAAGGAAAAATTTCAAGTACACAAACTCTTGAAGAGAAAATTCTTCATTTTATACAAGATCAACAAGCTTTAATTCATAATTTAGCGATAACAAGAAATCGTGTTTTAAATATTGATATGAAAATATTATCAACATCAAGTTTTGAACTTGATAAATTGAGTGTAATTTTTGAAATGTATCGTAAGCAAGCAGCTGATAATACTTGTAAACAAAATTTATATAATACTTTAAATTATTATGAAGAAAATCGATTAATACCAACTATAACCAAATGTCCAACTGAAAGTTTTTATAATATTCCAACAATATCATCACTTACAAATTCAATACAAAATAAAAATTTGGAAAAATTTTCAAATATACGATTATCTTTAGTTGATTGTAAAAATGGTTGGAGTTTACTGTATAATAGATGTATTAATAAAATTGGTAATTCATTAAATGATTTCCTTAAAGAAATTAGAAATGAAATTGATCAAAATAATAAAGATTTTAAAAAGGTAATTGAGCAGGAGAATAAATCAAATAGTAAATGTCTTTCAGATTCAAGAGAAGATATTAAAGAAAGATTTGATGATTTTGCAATAGCATTTAAAAATTGTAAATGAAGATTTAATAAAACTATAAAAATGTAGAATTCAATTTAATTATTTCAGTATTTTATAATAATTTAAGTTTTAGTTTAAATTGACCTAGAGATTTAGGTAGTGTGAATGAAATTGAGGTGGATATAGTAAGCGTTTGTTTTCCTAGGTATAAATTCGACTTTAGTCTTTAGTTCAAATCAAACAGTATAAGCACAGTAATGACGCGATAAAAGTGCATATTGATAATGTAAAGAGCAGTTTAGTAATAAACGATTGGTAAGTTACAAATTAGTTTACATAATATGTAAGCTGTCTACATTTTTTGTGACATAATTTGCCTTAAAACAATAAAATGCAACTTATGAACTAAATAGAATTAAAAAAGAAATATTGAGATTGGCTATTAAACACTTCTACAATACGACCTCTGCAATAAAATTATTATTAAAAATTCCTAACCTCGGAAAATTTCATGTTTTCAACATATGAAAGCGCCATTATCTGTAATTTGAAGCTAATAATTTGGATATCATTTTGTACTATACACAGTAAAACCAATGTATAACGAACACTCAAAATTTAATAAGGCTTGTGTATAAAGTGAAAATTTCGTAATATCAAGATTTTTTATTAAAATCAATATCGTCAATATATAAAATCACCTCGGCTCAAATTCTCCAATTCTCGTATACAGTGTTCCGACTCTTTGAAAACAAAATGTATCCAATTTCGAGGAAAAAATGTATCCAAAATGATTTTACGATCGTAAAATGGAATTATTATACTAAATCGTCTTATTTTGTACAAATTAACTCATAATTAATATTAATTTGTTTTATTCTTGCAATGTGAGTTTTGTTATGGTATTTATTTATTTCCGGTACGTTCTGGATGTTCAAATGTTCTGGATTTGAAGACAGGAAAATGTGCTACTAATTTATTGTTTAATATCTTCTTAAAAATTTGAAAATCTGTTTAGTAAAGTAAGCAAATAACATTTTTTGAAGATAAAGAAATTTCGTAATTTAATATTAGCAGTACTTTGTCAAATTTTATAATATTTATTTAGTGTTTGAGAAAGAAATGTATTCATATTTCAGAAAAATTTTCAAATGTATGCAATTTTGGCATTTTAGGAGATTTGAGTAGCTTTGCATTCACGTCAAATTTAAAGCAAAAATGTATCCAAGTGGGAACGCTGCTCGTATAATATTATTTCGTTTCGACTTTCGGGTAAGGCTCTTCTACTAGAATACTACGATTAATGTGCAAGGCAGAGAAAAAAATTCTTCAATAACAGTCAAAAGGGTTTGCTTTTTTTTTTGAGTTGCTATACACTTTTGACCTATTCGATATTTGATCTTATTTTCGCTATTATTTTAAATAATTTTAAAATATTTAAACAAGTTTCATTTTTAAAAAAAAAATTTAAATATTAAATTTATTATTTTAATTACTTAAACGTCTGTGTATATGTGCATGTATGCATACACTTAAACTTTCGGTTGTATACAATAGATCTTCTTCATTTTGATAATTTTATTAAATTTGAACCACTTTAAAAAGTTAAAAATTTTGTTTTTTTTTTCATTCACTAAATAAGATGCTTCATTAAAATCATAAACAGTTATGACATACTTCTAAATATATACAAACATATACATACTTACATATTTAAGTTGCATTATGTATGCACATTGTGCTGATTTGCACACACATAACATAGTTTTTAAACTTGAAGTTGTCATATGAATAAATTTTTTTACTCGAGAGAAAAAAAAAAGTTTATTCAAATATTTCTAGAAAGTAAAAATTATTGTATAAGAAAATTGTTATCCTTTTCATAAAAAATTATGAAAATTTTCTATTTTCCTTTTTTTTTTTTTTGAATATTTTTTCTCATTCATTTTACTCTAACTTACTTTAAATTAATTTGAATTTTCTTGAGTTTAGAGTTTTTATAACTTTTTTAAAGTATAATAATAATTTTAGGTAATGAAAAAAAAAAATTTTATAACTTTTAATTAATTATAATCCTTTTCATTTTTTTTTCTTGTGTTTTTGTTTTTGATTCTATTTTCTTCTTATTCTCCTTATTTAGATTTAAGAATTTTTGAGAAAAAGAGCATTTAGTTTAGAAAAAAAAATCTTACATAATATGTTATATATTCGGATACCTGTTACCCAACATGGTGTTTTGTAGAAATTCTAAAATTTTATCAGGACTCTTCTTTAAGCAATGTTATCCATCCACTATAGCTTGGGGATAAAATAGCGATTTTTAAAATTATTTAATGAAATTTTTACCTAATTCTTTTAGTTAGCAATTAATAAACTAAATTAAAATAATTAAACATTGCTTTTAGTAAAATTAAGAATTTAGATAATATTTGAGATTTCAATATAATTTGACCGGAGATAAGCATTCAATATCGTAATATTGTGTAACATCTGGTAACCCCGACGTGCTAAATTTATTTATTAATTTGTATAAGAAGCTTTACATACCTCATTCAAGTTTTTGTAAAAATTCCTTTTTAGAACTTTTCTAAAAATTTTTTGAAAAAAAGTGCTTTTTAGTTTCACTCTGTCCGTCCGTCCGTCCGTCCGTCTGTCCGTGTGTCTGTTTACAAAACTTCTACAACCTTGAAGATAGAAAGCTGAAATTTCTATCTTCAAGGACGTACGTAGATCTTTACTAGTAACTTATTTCCGTAGAACAAAATTTTTACGTATCTCCCTTCCTCTGGAAGTTATAACCCCCTCAAAACCCTAAAAATGCCATTTTTTAGCTATTTGTTGCAATGAAACCATAAGCAATTTTGAAATTTTGCAAACGCATAAAGGCATCGCCTTGCTTCCCCTAGCGCGGTATTCTATAGTTAAACTTTAGAAAAACAAAATGGCCGCTCAAATTTACCGTTATCTAAAATCCTTTTTTTCAAAATTTTTGATGTCGTTTTTCTTCTAGACCCCAGCCTGTAGAAGCTTGAAGTTTCTTCTAGACATTTCTTCTAGGGACTTCCAGACATTAACAAATAGTTCATTTCGTTAGAAGAAAATTTTTTTCCATTTCCACCCCCTCTCAAGTTATCGCCTCTTGAAATTTGTAAAATTTGAATTTTTGACACCTTGTATTTCCGAAACCGCAAGCTTTTTCAAATTTCTATGAACGCAAAAAGCAAACAGTAAATTCCATGACATTAAAAATATAATTAGTTTTCTTAACTCACACATTTAAACCTTAAAATCGAGCATTATGTTAACCCCTTTTTATATTAATTTTTGCTTTATTTCAAAGACTGCATGTATGCATCATCCTAAATATATGCAATCCTAGAAATAGCTTTCTACATGAATGAAAATATTTTGAATAGTGTGATAGGTATACATAGACTGTATTTAAAAGCAGAATTTTCACTTGCTGAAGGGAAAAGTGCTACAATACAAACCATTAGTTTGACCCAACTTTATTCTTTCCAAATTTTTAATATTTAATATTTCAAAAATAATAGGCGTATTTAATTATGTCATGTCTTATCTAAAATTCGCCAACGACCTTTTTAAAAAATATTTTATTTTAACTTCATATTATTCTAAGATTTTCTAATAACAAAATGAGTAAAATTTAAAATTAAATTTCGGAAGAATAAACTTAAAGTATCTCGGAAATATTGTTGTAATGTGCCACAAGGATTCAAACAAAAATTTTACACATTTTTTATGCCCTACAGAGTCTAGCTAGATGATAGTATACATTAAGGTGTACGCATTGATTCAGAAATGAATGCATTCATTATTATGAGTCCGTGGATGTTCGAATACATAATAAGCACATGTATTAAGAATATATGAGAGGTTTAAAATAATAAAATTAGTTCAATTTAAGTAAAATTTTTAAGTTATAGGAGGTTCGGGTTAATTTGGCTATGTGTTCTATTAAAATTTTTGCGCTTATTCTGTGTAACACAAAATTACTTTGAAAATCTTCAAACTTTAATTTTCTTCTTAACCAGATTTTAGCAAAATTCAAAATTGTCTTTGAACCCAGGAATATAGTTATAAACTGAAAAATTTGCAATTTTTGAATTAGATCTTAATCCAGTGTCAGGATTAGTGTTATATAATTAAAATTTCCCGTTCAAATCGAATATGCTTTGAAATCGTTTTTGATGAAGTTCTTCTTAATTTTTTTTGTATTAAATGTTTACAAGTTTTATTATTATTAACCATTTTCCTATTCAAGATTATAAGTACAAAAAAACAAAATTATCAGACTGTTCGTGTTTAGATTTCCAATGAAATTATTTGGAAAATTATTATAAGTAAAACGCCTTAAACTTTATTTGTTCTCATTATTTTGTTGTTTCTACTTTTGTTGATTTAGTTTAGTGTGTTTGAAGGCACCCGATTTGCTTTATTTAATTTTTATAGGAGTAAACATACATACATGTATGAATAGATGTATGATTGCAACTAAAAATTTGTATCTTTGTGTATGACTTAAGATAAAGTAAACAGAACAGCTGGTGTTGTTTTTTTTTTTTTTGGTTTTTATTTTACGCTGGTTGCGGTTACCCACTTAATATCCTAGCCAAATATCTTAAGTTTTTACAGTTATTTTTGTTTGTTTTTCATTTTGTTTGACTTTATTTTCGTATATCCTTCTTAAATTTCTTTTTTCTTAACTATTCTTTACCCGTTTTTATATTGTTTTCCTCCTTACGACTACTAATTATTAGAAGACGTTATATAATTTTTTTTCCCCGTTTTTGTTGTAATTCTTATGATATTTGTTTTGTTTAATTCTTATATTTTTTTTGTATTTTCGTTGTTGTTTTCAGAGAATTCGACAAACTAACACTATTTTTGTTAAAACTAGTCTTTAGGTAAATGATTTTTTTTTATTTTCAATTTGTTGTTGTTTCTTTTTTGTATTCTCTATATTTGCCCTAAAAATAAGATGAAAATTTAAAAATAAAAATATTTTTTTACTTAGCCGGTCACAATAACAAAAAAAAAATTAATAATAAAAG